GACGTAGTCGCGCAGGTCGAGCTCGCGTAGCCAAAGGTGGCGTCGGCGGCAAACGGCGTCTGGGCGGCGGGCACGAGGCGCCCCCCCTCGGCGACGTAGTGCACGTTGTCCACGGTGTAGCGGCCGCCCTGGAGGAAGAAGGGGCACAGCAGCCAGGCGTCAAAGGGGCCGAGGGCGGCGGTGGCGGCCTCGGCTTCGAGCGGGAAATGGCCGCGCAGCGTCGAGTCGCCGCGCAGCACAATCTCAAAGGGAAGGCCGGTCGCGGACGAGGCGGCCCGCAGGTTGGTGCAGATCTCGACGAGGAGGGCGCGGGCCGGGGCCGGGTGCAGGGCGCGCGAGTTTGTGAGCACGAAGAAGCCACTGCCGCGCCGTGTCAGGCTGAACTCGGCCGTCAGCGTCGGCACATCCCAGACGGTGAGGACGTTGACGTCGTGGCAGGTCTGGGTGCCTGTCGGGTCGTCATCGAGGGCGACGAGGAGGGGGACCTGCGACGAGGGCGCGCGCAGCTGGGCTTGCACCTGGGCGCGGATGTCTTGCGTGACGGGAGGTGGGAGCGAGGCGAGTGTTGTGTCGAGGTCGAGGACGGGGTGCGCGGCCATGGCGGCTGCGTTGTATGTCAGAGTCTGGTTGCTGTCGTTGAAGGAGTCGTTGCCGTCATGAGTTGAGTCGCGTGTGTCCCTAGATGAACATGTTGCTGCGATGGTCAAGTGTGATCGTAGCGTGTATACCCTCCTCAACGTATCTCTCTGGAAGACAAAGTGAGTTGATGTGGGAGTCCTCAGCATGAGGGGTCGTCCGTCGTCGGAGAGCCGCAAACGATCGGCGACAAGTCCGAAGCCTAGCACATCAGCACATCGGCAAACCTTCCGAGCGACGTGCGCGACCTCCAGCCTCTTGTCAAGTCTGGCGTCCCAACCCGAATGAGATCAAGATAGCACAGGCTACGCTCCGAAATGTCTATTTTTCGCAAAAAGGCCGGGGTATACTTGCTACACGCCAAAGCTCGATCCCTCGCCGCCCGCCCGTCTGTCTGCCCGTGTCCCATCGGCCCTCCTCCAAACCCAAACACCCAAACAAACAGCCGAAACCCCATTGGCGGCCATGCTATGCCTTGCCTTGCCTTGCCTGCCGCGTGCCATGCCAAAAGTGAGCCCAATCAAGATGCCAAATGCTTCGATGCCGCCCCTGTCCTCGCATTATACCCATGACGTCGTGTCGCGTTACTTGCTGCTGCTGCTGCCGCTGCTGCTGCTGCCGCTGCCGCTGCTTCCCATGCCCTCACCGTCTGTCTACACCTGCAGCTCGTCCTCGTCCAGCGGCTCGACGCGCACGAGTATCTCCTCGAGCAGGCCCTCGAGAAAGGTGCCGACGTCGCGGCCCATGCCGACGGGCTCGGCCTTGTCGTAGTGGTCAATCTCCTTGCACACGTGCGCGAGCTTGTAGACGAGCTTGCGCAGCTTCTCGTGCGCCGCCTCGGCCCGCTGCTGCCGGGGCGTCACCTGGCCGGCCGACGGCGGGCGGTGCGCCTGCTGCAGCCGGATCTGCCGCCGCTTGAGCGCCTCCTCGAGCGCCGGGAAGATGACGTCGTTGAGTGCGTCGAGCTCGCCGTTGGGGCTCGCCGGCGCCGGCGACGGGAAGGACGACGGTGTCGTGACCTCGAGGGGCTGCGCCTTGGAGGCGAGGCCCGGCGACTTGGTGGCCAGGGCCGGCGACCCGAGCGGCGTCGTCTTGGGCAGGAGAAGCGGTTGGGGCAATGGGCCCGAGGAGGATGCCGCTGCTGCTGCTGCTGCTGTTGCTGTTGCTGCTGAACCGGCTGCGGACGAGGAGGGCTGCCGGCTGCCGGGCTGGCTGGCTACCCTGTCGAGGGGCTGCAGCTGGGGCGGGGGGTGCGCCGTCACGCCACACCGCGGAACGGGGAT